CAAGCAATGTAGTCGCATCACCATACTCCATTGATAACGTCCTCACTGTTCGCAGATGGTTCTTCAAATCATTCTTTGTGAACCCAACAAACTTCCGACCACCACCAGCGCTACTAATTGCATTATACGAAGAAGTCACACCAATACCAGCAGCATCATTCACCTCTGCCAACATCTTATACACAGGAGCCATTCGTCTGCTGGATCTCACATAGTGACGCAGAGACTCAGGAATCATGTCATGGTTGTGCACATTATACCAACGATAGATCTTGTAGCATTTAAACTCTTTAAACCACCTCAGTCGTATATGAGCACCATTACATCCACCCCTGAGTTCTGGAACATTACGAACACGAACATTCGTATCAACAACACCTGCATTATCAGGGTTATTCTCGCTACCTCTTCTCCAACCTTCCTTATTGCAACAATACTTGATATAATATACAGCTGAAGAACCACCATTGAGCTTCGGACACGCTGATTGGTTATAAATCCTCACACCAAAACCTTCATGATTCCCATAATCCACAGAGAAATTGTATGCATCATCTGGTGTATTAAACTGTAAGTCCTTCCAAGAATCACGAACAGTAGGATATATACCATTGAAACCTATAAACATTATGAAGCAACATATTAAATATGTACAAATATAATACCACCATGGTATGATATGGTAAAATGGATTCCACACCACAACAGTAAATCTCAATGTATACCGATAATTACAGCCATGATACAAGAGTTACCACCATGGTATAATATGGTAAAATGAATTTCATGCCACAAGAGAATCACATCTCATCATATTACCACACTATACCACATGGTATAGCATGGTAAAACCAAACTACCACACTATACCACATGGTATGGCATGGTAAAATCAAATTACCACACTATACCACATGGTATGACATGGTAAAATCACTTACAGCAGCAACAAAAATCCCAAAAAACTACACTATACCACAAACTATACATGATAACATCAAATTACCATATTTTACCACATGGTATGACATGGTAAAATCAATTATCACACATAACCCCACCTTTAACTTGAAACTACCACACTATACCACATGGTAAGGCATGGTAAAATCAAATTACCATATTTTACCACATGGTATTTTACTATACCAATGATTCCAACCATGGTACAAGTAATTACCACCATGGTATGATATGGTAAAACTTAAATACAGAGCACAATAACATCACAACACAACACTATATTATCACCTCTCATCGTATACCAGTAATTACCACCATGGTACCATATGGTATCTAACACATTCAAACTTCAATAAACAAACAAATTTGTATATCTTACCTCCTGATTCACCAGAGTTAGCTGAATGACCAAATCCAAGATCGATAGATGAAGAAGCAGTTCCAACAACGCTAGATGAAGAACCAGATCCTACAACGCTGGTTGAAGAACCAGATCTATCAAATGGAACAACATCGCCACAATTTATGTAACTCATCTCACCAGAATACTGCAAAAAAACCAAAACACAAAGAACATAACACATGAACAAGCTCGATTAGGTAAACAAAACACACAAAAGAAACTCAGAGAAAGTAAATTCTACAAAACCTACAACGAAACCAGAGAAACTCAAACACGCTCGATTAGCTAAACATGAACAAGCTCGACTAGCAGCAATGAAAAACCTCCAACGAAACCAGAGATTGTCAAAACGCTCAACGAAACCAAAGATAAACAGAAAACTCGATTAGCTAAACAGGAAGAATAAAAAAAACTAATATCTAACCTCGTCGTCGATCAATTATGGAGAATCAGAAAGCTCGATTCGATTAGCTGATGCTCGCAGTTTCTATCGCCGTCGATCAATTATGGAGAATCAGAAAAGATTCGCCGTCACCTGTTTCTCAGCTGCTGCTCGCAGCTTTCTCTCTCCAAAAACCGAATCCAACTCGCGCACACGTCGATCAATTAGGAGAATCATAAACCTCGATTCGATTAGCTGCTGCTCGCAGTTTCTATCGCCGTCGATCAATTATGGAGAATCGCCGTCCCCTGTTTCTCAGCTGCTGCTCGCAGTTTCTCTCTCCAAAAACCGAATCCAACTCGCGCACAGGAAAGATTCGCAACGGACAAAAGGGGGAAGTCATTAATTCAAATTTCGGACAAAACTGCCCCTGACCATCACCGCATCAACCACAGCCACACGATCAGCCCGACCCAGATCTACGGTCCTAACGTGGTTACTCACGGGTGAGTAACATAGGGTTACTCACCCTATCCTAAGCCCTTCCTCTCTTTACTTCCCATGCAAGAATTGTCTTCACCCACCAATTAATTCACCAACCAATAACACGTGAATGAATCCTTGGCAACTACGCACTCTATGTACAATTATCCCTCAGGCGAACGGTTGTCCTTTTCTTAGAAGGAAAAGTGATAATCATCGATTTGGACCAATCAGCTTACCATTTCACGTTGCCATGCTTCTTTCATGGAGACAAAATAATCAATTGCATAAATAATCCTTGCGTGGTCCGTGTAGTTGGCAGCAGCTATGAACCCATTTATTCATCAAGAATGCTTCCAATTGATCCTTATATCGGCGAATCCGATGTTAGAATTTACTTTATTCTATGTAATTCCCCGGAATTCATCATCTTGTCAGATTATCAAAGGTTGATAGAGTTACTTGATTTCACGATGTAGACCGTTTGGATCTTGATGCGGAATCTAAAAGACGAACTTTGGCCGGACGATACTTCTAAGAGCACGACCCGGGAGGTATTGAGGCCTTCCTCAACCAAGCCACCTTAGGTCCTAAACGGGAGACCTCTCACTTCTGGATGGGGAGAAGATGAGAGTGTTTGTCTTGGTGTATTGGGGACCACAACCTCAAACTCCTTATATACTAGTTTCACATGGGCTCCCATAAAACCCAAGTGGACAAGTATTGGGTTTCCACCCATTAAACCCATATTGGGCTTGAGTAATCATGAGCTCCATGTATTGATCACTTATAGTTTGCCCATCAAAACCAAATAGCTAATATATGTGTTGTGAATTTGCAAGCCCGCTTAAGTCGGGAACTTAAATTCCTAACAATCTCCCACTTGGGCTGTCTAATTTCACGAACACTTATATTGCGAAATTCTATAGGCGCGCAACCGTATGCTATTCGTACGATAATTACTCCTTGACAATCTGGTCCACCTCATGTATCAACTATGGAACCAACGCGGCTTTAATCACGATATGATAATGATTAAACCACCATGATCACCACACCAATACACTCAATGACATAGATCAAATATGGATGAGTGGCATGAAAATTACATGCAATGTGATCTTGAACATGCCTATTTTCAACTGGTCCTACTTTAGTCCTTAGTGAGATCAACTGAAATTCCTTCATACAATGTGACCACTGTATAACTGAAGGCACTTTAAATTCCAAAATAGACTCTAGAAAATCATCACTTTATTCTGCAAAATTGATTTAGTCATAATCTATTGAACTACTTAAATGACTCCCACTAAACGAAGGTACCATCCGGAATAACACTCATGTGAGCAATATGCTCATGAAAAAACTTTATGTGTCAAACCATTGGCTAATGGATAAGCTAGCATTAGTCATTTCCTTAATGTTGTGGAAGCCTTTTGACTTGAATCCCATCCATGCTCCTTGAATTGAGCTCCAAAGTAGGCTTCACAAAATAGTTTCCAGTTTTGAGGTAGCAACTTTGAGGCCTTGGCAAACAACCTTAATGACATCTTCTGGATCCAAAATGCATACCATTGGAAATATGGCAACTTTATCTGTAAAACAAGTCCTTGATATCCAATTTTCATTGAGCCGTTTGTGAGATACGAGCTTCCAAAGTAGGTACAATGAACACGGATTTTGATTTAGTCAAATTCTGCCCTTCTTCTTCCCAACTTCGATAGCTTCTTCATCAAGTAATTTTGGCTCGTTAATTAATCGATTTGGAATCATATCACATCCTAGTGGTACTGGGTTCACCTAGGCCTAGCCTTTTTAACGGTTTATATGACATTACGTTTATGCTAAAAATTCGCCAAGAACTTCCTTACATGCAAACTACCAATCACGCAAGGGATAGTAAAATTCCCTAGGTATTTTCGCTTCTTTGGTAGCTTGTTCTGCAGGATGGCAGAACACTCCTCGTTGAGCATCACCGTCGATAGCTCCCCAAGCTTCCTTCATGAACTTTGCGTACTTGGGCATCTTCGATAATGCCTCAACAAAAGGCATACTGATGTTCACCTACTCAGCATTGCCATGAAGTTGGCAAACTCAGTCTCTAGTGGGTTTTTGTGCAACCGAGTAGGGAAAGGAAGCTGAGGGACATACTCCTTCACCACTGGTTGTGGCTTGGTAACATGCACCTCAGTTTCCTTTTCCTTTTCTTCCTCCTCTGCTGGAAGTGCTGAAGCATGTCTCTCTCTCTCTCTCCTGCTGGCCTGGACAGGTGGGTCTGTAGTCACTTTGTCGCTCCTTGTAGTGACAGCATGGAAGTGGGCATTCGGGTCCTTCGGATTAGGAATGGTATGACCCGGTAAAGTGCCCGGCTCGCTCTGTACAACAGCTTGAGCTATACCCTGAGTTTGTATATCCATTAGAACAGCCTGTGTGTTCCTCTAGCCAGCTTCAAGCTCCATGAAGTTAATTGAAGCTTTATCCATGAATTGCTCGATGTTGTTGAATTTAGTAGCACTTGAACTGGCTAGAGAACCCACCAGATCCCGCAGTTCAGCCATCGAATCACTAGGCACTAGGGCTGCTGAAGCTGCGCCCAGATGCTGAAATGGCCCCGTTTGCTGAAGAGCTTGCCCCGGTCTAGGCTGGTAGAGAGGCTGCTTCGGCTGATGGAATTACCCGTGCCTGGGCTGGTATGACGGCCTCTGGAAACCTGGTGGTCCCTGAGCGACTGGTGGCTTAGGATTACTGTCGAAGTTAGGATGCTGGCGCTGCCTCTCATTATATGTATTACTATAGGGGTCGAAATGCCAAGCATTGCTGATGAAGTCCAGCTGCTTTTGGGGTGTAGTAGTTTCCCTCATCGCCTGGCAGTCTTCCACTGTGTGGTGGCTGCTCTCACACTACTGGCACTACATCTCCTGTTGTTGCCCTGTCCCAGAGATCAACCCATTACGATCCATGGGTGATACCAGCTTCGAGACAACCCACCAACTTAGATGACTAGGTGTCAACAGCATGCATACCCCGGCTTGGTGCTCGCCTAGACCTCCTAGAAGTCCCCCAATCATATCCCTGCTCTACCATCTCCTCAAGAGTTGGTTCAGCTGCGGTGGCGTCTTAGTTAGCATGTTCCTGCCACAAACCGAGTCAATCAGCTGCTTGTCTTCAAGGAAGAGAGCCCGGTAGAAGGTGCCCACCTTGAAAGCATCGTTGAAACCATGATTGAGACACTTCAGGAAGAGACTGGTGTATTTTTCCCACGCATCCTGGATGGTTTCATCCTCTTCATGTGCAAAATGAGTGATCTAGTTTTGTAGATCAGTTGTCTTAGATGGAGGATGATTGCGGGTCAGGAACTTGTCTGCCAGGCTGGTGAATGTAGAGATCGACCCCGGAGGTCTATTGTCCAGCCACGCCTTGGCCTGTCCCTCCAGAGTGAATGGGAAATATCGCAGCTGAATGGCGTCCTGCGGGACGCCGTTAATCTTGATTCCATCGATCAGCTCGTGGAATCGCCACAGGTGGGCTCTGGGGCACTCGTCCGATTTCCCATGGAATACCACCAAGCCGCGTAGCATGGTGATGACAAAGGTGCTCATCTCAAAGTTGTTAGCAGGAACTTGAGGGTGCTGGATGGGCGACCTCATGTCCACGGCACTGGCGGTCTAGTAGTATCCCATGGTATGCTCATCGGGGACAAGCTCCCCGCCATTATTGGGCTCACCCATGTCGTCCTCCTGGTTGATGTTCAGAGTCTCCAAAGCTTCCTCCGCAGCCAGTCTCGCCTTTAAAGCTTTCTTGAAGTTGCGACAGGTCCTTTTAAGCTCTTGGTCCAATGGCAATAGATCTCCCGACTGGCTACGGATCATGGACTGCCTGCAAACAGATTGCAAACACGACCCGTGAAGGCACACAGGTGGAAGATAGAAAATGCAGTAAAGAAAATGCTAAAGTAACAGACTTTCACGTTTCTATAATAACCTAAAAGGTCACCGACAACGGCGCCAAAAACTTGACTCGCTAAAACACAACACCAAACTACGACCAAGTATAATCACAGTCTGGAAATGCAAAATAGTGTGTAAGTTTAATCTATCAACCCGGGGTCTAGATCTACTGCCTACTCCGTGAACTTCTATTATCTGGCGGGACTAAGTGAGTGAAGTTGAATTCAAACCAAAACATAGAGAAAGTAGTAAATTGTGCAGTTTTCTGAAGCAAGAGAAGAGTCACTCGGGAATGAGTCCCCCTAGCTCCTTAGTTAGGTCCAAGTTGTAATTTCCTTTGGTTGATTCACTGTTGATTAAACTGCTGAAGATCCGACAGTAGTTTGGAATCTCTTAAGTTGACCAAGCCCTCTCAGATAGACTAACCAGCAGACGACTAGTCTTCACCAGGATAGAATGCTAAGGCAATTAACACAGAACTCCACTACTGGAAATAGATTCCAGTACAAAGCAGTGGATTGAATGACTCTCGTATAATCAGATCACTCCTATCGATTAAAGAAGCTCTAACAACCTATTCAGATTCTATCTATCACACGTTGAAGCATAAATCAAGAGAAGTTGATCAGGATTCAATTGACTCAATAAACATGCTTCAATCGATTAAAACCAATAAGTATATCCATCCAACAGTCAATACAACTCAAATCCCTAACACATGGAATTAGGGTTCTTCATAGCCAAAGTAAGAGAAAGGTCTATTCCATAGAGAAAGAGAGAGAGAGAGAGAGAGAGAGAGAGAGAGAGAGAGGAAAATAGAAATCAAAGCAGTCATACTCATAAGGATGGGAATAATCTGCTCTGGGATGTCAAGCTTCACTTCTCGGGATGCAATCTGGGATTCAATGGTGAGAAACCCACTCTAAATAGCTCCTAGGGTTTGTTCTTCGCACTTTCACTCTCTAGAACTCTGTTTTTTCTCCAAAAAGTCGAATCCCCTTCCTTTGGCTCGAATCTGCCTCTTTCAACCCGATTCTGGGGAAAATATAGGCAAGAATACTGTCGTATTTAGTATAATATTGACCGTAATCAGTGAATTACGACGGTAGTTCTTCTTGGTCTTGCCCGTATTTTGTACTTCCTCATAAATCTTCATGGGCTTGGCTCGGCCTTAAAAATACGGGCTAGACCAATGGCAAATGCGATCGTAATTCTTGGCAGGATGGCCGTATTTTGCACTTGAGCACTCTCCAGGTTCGGCAGTAAAAATACAGGCAGACATCACCAGAAGCACGATCGTAATTCTGCAGGGGACAACGGTATTTTGCTCACAAAATCGCCAAATGATCTCCAAACGACCCGAAACTTGAGCCATTGCCTCCCTTTACCTGCTAGGACCTGTAATGTGATAAAATAGCATAACCTAGCATAAAATAAGCCAATGAACCACAAATTCAAGCTAAAACAGTTAGGAAACCATAGTGCAAACATGTGCAAATACGACTCTATCAATATGATCGACGAGCTGCACGGTGAATATTTCATTAAACTGGATTTGAGAGTCGGGTACCACCAAATCTGTATGCATGAAGTCGATGTACACAAAACTGCTTTTAGAACTCACAATGGGCATTACGAGTATTTGGTCATGCCCTTCGGTCTCTGCAATGCGTCGTCCACCTTTCAGGCAGCCATGAATGACATCTTCTGCGGTCTGTTAAGGTGGTCAATGCTGGTATTCTTCAACGATATATTGGTCTATAGTCCGGACTAGGAACAACATTTGGGACATATATGAGAGGTTTTTGGCATTCTGCAGGCTGAATAGTATTTTATTAACGCATCTAAGTGTGCGTTCGGGGTGCAAGAAGTCAAGTATCTGGGACATGTGATCAAGCCGCATGGGGTGAAGGTCGACCCGACCAAGATCCAGCTATGTTAGATTGGCCAGCCCCGACAACGATCATGGAGTTTAGAGGCTTACTGTGCCTCGCCAATTATTACATAAAGTTCGTGCAGCATTACGACAACATTGCCAAGCCTTGACCGATTTGTTGAAGAAGGGCAGTTTCGCATGGACCGAAGCAGCAACGACGACATTCCATGCCTTGGAAAAGGCAATAACATCGACTCCGAAGTTAGCCATGCCAGAGTTCTAGAGGACCTTCACCATCGAGGCGGACACGTTAGGCAGAGGAATCGGGGCGGTGCTTTCACAACATCGACAACCTATAGCCTTCATGAGTCGATCTCCCTGAGCAAGGAGAGTTGGTCGACCTATCATAAGGAAATGCTCGCCATTACTACGGGGGTCCAAGATTGGAGACCATACCTTCTGGGGCAAAAGTTCCATATATATACATATCACCAAAGCCTAAAGCATCTCCTGGATTAGCGCGTCTCTACACCAGATCAACATAAGTGGTTGGCTAAGCTACTCGTGTGCGATTATGAGATTAACTACAAGCCGGGGACCTCCAACCTAGCCGCCGACGGGCTGTCTTGAAGCATGGGGGGCCAACGATTTACGCCGTGATAGGACTGATTTCTAGCTTTTCGGATAAGGTACATGACACCGTGATTCATAATGAGTACCTGCAGGATTGTAGAGAGCAAGCTCTCTCCCCATCACCCGGACACTACACATACCGCCATGGCCTGGTCTTCTTCAGAGGGCGAGTTATCCTTCCTCCATAATCGTCATTGACAACGACGATACTGCACGAGTTTCACGACTTGCCTATGGGGGGACATTCAGGAGCAAAGCAGACTCTCTTTCGGGACCGTGGGCATTTCTACTGGCCGCACATGGCGCAGAGTGTACGAGACTATATTTCTTCGTGTGATACATGCCAGCGATTTAAGGTCACACAACTCCGACCAGCCGGTCTTTTGCAGCCCTTAACGATTCCGAAGCAGGTTTGGGAGGCCATTAGAAAGGACTTTGTAGGCGGGCTACCACCATCAAGAGGAAAGTCGGTTTTTATGGTTGTGGTCGATTGCCTCACAAAGTACGCTCATTTTACTACTTTGTCTCATCCATATACTGTTACACCCCAATATGTGGGTTCAGGTTCGACCATATTAAATGAACCGTTTGATCGATGATTACATACGGAAAGACAAAACCAAACCCAGTTAAGGACCATGGCCTAATTAATTGACGTGGCCCAAATAGATCGTTGCCCGACAGTAGTATTGCAACATGGATTGAGAGGAATGATACTAGTAAGAATACTTTTATTACTAATATAATGAGTATATAAATATACGCATAAAGCCATTACAAACCCTAAACCAAGTTGTTCCTAGCGGCAGGCGAGAAAGAAGAAGAAAAAAATACAAACAAACAGTTGGTGCCGAACATTACCACCGGCAGCGAAGCGGCATAATAATAAAGGTGGGGTACAGGTCCAAGCCGACGGATGAGGAATTGGTAAAACAATTGCTTGATGGACAAGGCCTTCAATTCCGCTTCTCCACTTCCTTCCTACATCGGCCGCGACATCCAAGCCTCCCGCTTCCTCAATCTCCCTCCCCATCGTCTTGCTAGGCTTTTAGAAGCCAGGGTGTGCATCACTGGTGCGAGCAACATCCAGCAGGTGGCATCAAATGAAGGAATATGCGAGGGCTTCAGTGGTGCACGTGTGGATGGACAAGGAGATTTCGAGAAGCAACAATGCTTATTGACAATTCGATGTGGTAGCTAATCCGCTTGAAAAGGTGAGTGTAAAGGGGGTAAATTCTACGCATTATGTATTCTTTTAAGTATTATGATTTTAAGTATTTTTGTGCATTGGTTACCATTGCTTGATTATGTTTACGATTGATTATTTGTGCTTTGCTTGAGCTATGATTTGCGGTGATTTTGTGTTATTTGAGGTGATTTTGGGTGATTTTGTGCTATTTACCTTAAAGCGTTATGTTATGAGTTATTGTTAAAGTTTAAGAAGCAAGTTATTTTTAAGAAGTAACTCACCTTCAAGAAGGTGAAGTTGTTTTAAGTGTTTTTAGTCACTAGCGCCAGTCCGTTGCCATTTGAGATTTTCAGATAGAGCAGCAGTTATGCTCTTGAGATCTTTGAGACAGAGCAGCAGTTATGCTCTTGAGACTTTTAAGATGAGCAACAGTTATGCTCTTGAGAATCATGGTGAAGAGCCACCACGATAAGTTTAAGATGTTAGGGGGATGAATCGTTACAACTCCCCTAACTAAGTTTAAGGAAATCCTGGATGGCTTCTCATACGTATGAGTTGGCAACCGGACTAGCTAGTGAGGGATCCCAGTGTCAGTCAAGTATTTAAGTCAAGATTTGAGCTTTAAGAGAGGAGAGTAACTTCAACTCCCTCAAAGTTTAAGAGTTAAGATTTTAAGAGTGGAAGTACAAACAATTTCCACAAATTTAAGTAAGTGTTTTAAGTAAAGTACTAAGCAGTAAGAATTCTTAACATAAGGGCGCAGACTGACCCCATCTTACTCACCAGTTTCAAGAGCTAGAGGAGCATTTAATGAGCAGCTAATTCGAGGGCAGGCAGCTAGAGGAGGGCAGTATAAGCGTCACAGTGGATGCTTAGTCAAGGTTTCAGTAGCAACAACATTAGAGATTATTAGTTATTTACATTTATGATTATGAGTATAGACTGGAGATCAAATTGAGATTTTAAAGTTTGAGTTTAATTTGCACACGTGTTAGGGCTTTGCTCTGAGCTACAAGTGTGTGTTTTCTGTATTTTATTTATGAAAATTTTTCCCGCTGCAATTTAAGATTTGAGTATTTTATTTATCAAGGGCATTTTAGTAAAAGTAGTACCCGGCCGGGTTAGGGTGTTACATATACTGCGAAGACGGTTGCCGAACATTTTGTGCGAGGGATAGTACTACACCATGGTGTCCCGGCCTCGATCGTGTGTGATCGTGATTCAGTTTTCCTGGACAGTTTTGGAGAGAGCTATTAGCCATGTGCAACACGTCCATCAACATGAGTTCAGCCTACCATCCTCGATCGGATGATCAAACAGAGGTGGTTACCATTGTTTGGAATAGTACCTGTGATGCTTTGCTCACTAGCAGCCGTAGAAATGGTTAAGCATGTTGTCTTGGGCCGAGTTTTGGTACAATACTTCATTCCACCACAATATAGGGACGACGCAGTTCCAGGCTTTGTATGGCCGCGAACCAACGACTATTGTGAGCTGTCGGACGTGAGGGAGTCCTGTCCTTGTTGTTGACCAGTGGATGATGGCAACAGATGAGGCACTAGGACAGTTGAAGAGTGATTTGGCAGCGACAATCAACAAAATGAAGCAACTAGCAGATTAAGGGCGCCGCGACGTGGAGTAAGAGGTGGGCGATTGGGTTCTCCTCCGAATACCCCCTTACCGCTAGTCCTCCATATTTTCTCAAGCTTATAAAAAATTGACAGCCCGGTATTTTGGCCCCTACTACATTACGGCCAGGATCGGGTCAGTGGCATACAGGCTACAACTCCCAGAAGCTGCTTGCATCCACCTGACACGTCTCTACCGTCACACTAGAAAGTGGCCAAGTGTAACCACCTACTAATGCGTAGTATAGCGGGTTTAGTTATATATGTCAACCCGGGTCCTAGGTGTGATGACTACTCCGTGACAGTCTTATTATTTAGCGGTTCAAGTGTAGTGAAGGTCGAACTAAACTAGCAAGCAAGAGCAGTGAAAGCTGTGTTCAAAGTTGAGAGAGATCGCCTAGATATGGTTCCCCCTAGACTGCAGTTAAGCCAGGTTGTAATTCACCAAGTTTAATTATAGTTATACCGCGGGAGGTTCTTAGACAGTCTGTAGTCTCGCCTAAAGGTCTCCAGACCCTCTCAATCTGAGTCCCCAGCGAGCGACTAACCTCCACCGGAGTAAACAGATTGAGGCCCTAACGAACCAAACCTCCTCTACCGGAGTAAATCCGATACAGAATAATGAATTGGCTCCTCCACTAAAGTCGTCAATTCACTACCTTCAATCAAGGGTGCTCTATCAACCTAGGCAGATATTCTCTTTCTAGGTCAAAACAGAAATAACATGAATTTGATCAGGATTCATGCCATTCAGGAAATCAAACCTCAATTGAATATAATAAATATCAATGAATTCGTACTTGGGTTCATACAATCAGACCTAACATACAAATCTAGGGTTCTTCATACTCAGGTGAGTGAGAGAGTTTACTCCATAGAGAGAAAAGGAAAATCTAGCACAGATGCATAAAACATGCTGTAAAGGGTGAGATTCTGCTTCTGGTAGTCAATCGGCACTTCTCCAAACTTAAGCCGAGCTCCAATGGTGATGAAGATCGATCTAGGGCGCTTGGATATTCTGGTTCGTCTCTCTCTCTCTAGGTATCTGCTTTCTTTCTCTAAAACTCGGAACCCCTTGTAAAATTGGCCTTTTTCCCTCAAAAGGGAGGAGATCGCGATCCCCGGCCATAATACCAGGTCGTGTATTTTAGCTGCCCGGCCGGGTATTTTAAAATGCAGCGCATCGGGGAAAGGGAAATACCCGATCGAGGTTCAGAATACCCGATCGGGTATTTTAGCTATCCAGGCGGGACCCCTTCTGGAATTCTGGCGCCCAAAACGTGTTATCCCCGGCCTCCTCTTGCATTTTACCCGGTCGGATATTTTAACTCCTGCCGGGTATTTTCTTCTTCCAGCGCCCCTTCACTCCAGCGTCCTCCTTTTTTACCCGAAACTCGTTTCCATGCCTCCATGTCCACGTCAAGTCCTAAAATATGACATTAATGAACAACCTAACATGAAATCGGCTTAAAACACGAGAATTGTCTATCAAACGGCTCAAGAATGGAAGCATAAACATGTGCAATTAAATGCCCCCACACTTAACCGTTTGCTTGTCCCCAAGAAAACCTAACTCAAACCAATGCAGCTCTCCAGACCTCTATAGCAACAAACACCCTCGATCGTCGGTAGAGGATGTTCTAGATCATTTAACAACTTACGAGGTCAACCGACGCACAAGTCATCTCCTAACTTCTTCGGCGAGGACGCTAGTCTCGAGTCAGTATCATGGCAAATAGTGATCAGAGGACAAATGAATTGTGGACGAAGGGACTCTCAAAAACAAAGGATCATGGACTCACATTTTCCAAGGTGCTCTTATTTTCCTTTTTGAAGATGGTTGGAACCCCTTGTTTTCTTTTTCTTGTCATTTTTTTCTCTTTTTTTCTTTCTTTCAAAGGGTTCCAACCCGTTTTTCAGAAAACGGGGCTCCCACTTAGCAAAGGTTTTGCGGGAACCCGGCTCTTACGGGCCATGCCGGGAGCAGAAAACTCGATCCTTGTGCGGGGGAAAGGAATGTAAGGGGTCTAGAGGTAGTAGGTGGAAATTGGGAACGAATTCCCATCTCCACTTACACCATTTCGCCCTATTTGCACGGGAGACATTATTTTAAAGCACATTTTTAGCACCTTTCTTTTCAAAACATGATACACGAGTCCATGACAGGTAGAGAGTCCACAAAACCACACAATTCAAGGGTCCTAGGATCACTAATTCAAACAATCAACCAACACAATATGAAGAGGAGAGGAGACTTCTTAAATGCATCAACATCCTCCATAGTGCTACACTACCTCCCTAGGTTGCATATTACTATAGAGACTATCAATTCAAACATACTGAGCAGGCAATTTGCAAGGAACACGTGCTTGAATCCCTCAAATCGAAATTTGGACAGTGGACTAGGCTCAAAGCACACAAGCAGATCTAAGCAGTCAAATAGAAACATCCCCCCACACTCAAGTTCGACATTGCCCTCAATGGAAAAGAGGGAAGGATAAGGGGAACGATGTTATCGGTATTCTCATACTGAAGTGGGACTGGAAGCTGGACCAGTCGAAGTGAAGCGGATTGGAATGGGACCAGTCGCTGCTAAGGCACGGCTAAAGAAGACACAATCACTCAAGCACAAATACGTCAGGTCAAATTGTCAGCCCAATAGTACTTCATACAAAAGAAAAGAAAACAAACCATGGTGGGGTTGCCTCTCCACAAGCGCTTCTTTACCGTCTTTTAGCTGGACGCCCATGGTGGATGCTCAGACTGGTGCAGGAACAGGTGCCTCCAAGAGCGGATCCACATCGCTCTTGAGGTATAGCTTCAAATGGTAGTCATGCACCTGACGGGTGTGACGACTAGCATTTGTTAGCTCGACATGGCCATCCTGCAGGATGCAAGCGAGTAATCGGATGGCCAGGGTGGTCGTGGTTCAGGAGGTAGGACCAGCTCATAGTGGTCGCCACCTTTCTTCCGAGCAAGCTTAGCTGCCTGCGACTTCGGCCGCCACTCCTCCTTGATCGTTTTTTTTGGTAGTGAGGCCGAAGGGAGTGGAGGCGAAGGATTGAGAGGGGGATCCTGCAAAATGAGAGGCACAGAAGCATACACGACAGACTCGTGCACCTGGTGAGAAATAGCATGCACAGGCGAGGCAGCAGGCATATTATTAGTGATAGAGAAAGTTATCTGCTCCTCGCCATCTCTCAAGACCAAAGTCCCATCACGGACATCTATGAGGACCCTGGAGGTGGCTAGGAAGGGCTTTCCTAGAATAAGGGGCACTTCTGTGTCTTCATTGATGTCTAAGACAACAAAATCCACAGGATAACAAAATCTGCCAACCTTAACCAGGAAGTCTTCCACTATGCCTCTAGGATGAACCACAGATTGGTCAGCTAATTGAATACTCATCCTAGTTGCGCTGGGTTCACCTAGGCCTAGTTTTTTGAACAATTTGTACGGGATAACATTGATACTAGCACCTAGATCCGCCAGGGACCTCTCTACATGTAATCTGCCAATGGAGAATGGGATAGTAAAATTACATGGGTCCTTCTGCTTCTCTGGAAGCTTGCTCTGCAGAATGGGCGAGCACTCCTCGCTTAGCATCACTGTCGAGAGATCCCCAAGTCGCTTTTTGTTGGTGAGGAGGTCCTTCATGAATTTGGCGTACTTGGGCATCTTCGACAGTGCCTCCACGAATGGCAGGCTGATGTTGACCTGCTTTAGCATTGCCATGAATTTGGCAAAATCAGTCTCCAGGTTGTCTTTGTGTAGTCGAGTGGGGAAAGGAAGTTGGGAGACATGCTCCTTAACCACTGGTTGTGGCTTGGGAGCAGGTGTTTCCCTCTCCATCCCTACTTTTGCATCGTCGGCTGGAAGTGCTAAAGTAGGTAGTGACTCCTCCTGCCTGGCCGGGTCAGGTACCGCCGATGTTGTCTTGGCACTCCTGGTAGTGATGGCATTCATCTGCTGGTGAGGCTCGTGAGGATTGGGGATGGTGGTGGCAAGCAGAGTTCCCGGTGCCCTAGTATTGTTCTGGCTAGCTATTCCTCTAATCTGATTCTGGAGGTCCTGCAATATGGCACCTTGGTTCCTCTGGCCTGCCTCCAGTGAGGTGATGCTCTGGTCCATCCTGGCGAAATTCGCCTGACTAGTAGTCATGAATGCCTGCATAATGTTTTTCAGCTCTGTTATCTGATTATCTGGAGTTGGAGCTGCTGGTGGCAGGGTATACTAGCGCTGTGGCTGCGGAAATGGGTCATGCCGGGCCTGGAAGGGTTGCCTCTGTTGAAAACCACCAGCTGGTGCTGGCAAACCAGGTGGTTTAGTGGTATTGCTATTATTGCCATTCCAAGAGAAGTTGGGATGTTGGCGCCACCCTTCATTATATGTTCCGCTGTAAGGATCAAGGCGTCGAGCATTGGAGATGAAGGCCAACTGCTCCTGGGGTGTAGAATACTCCTGCATAGCCTAGCAGTCTTCCACCAGATGGTTCGAACTCTCACACCACTGGCACTGTGCTTTAGTGTCTGAACCAACTCGGCCACCTCCCGCTCTAGCCCGGATCTAGCCTCAATGGCATGCACACCTCGGTCTCGGGAACTCCTGCTCCTGGTGCTCTGTCCCCAAGAATGATCTCTGGCAGCCAAAGTAATGATCATTTGATTTAGCTCAGGTGGAGTCTTAGTAAGAATGTCCCTGCCTGGGAATAAAGACTAAATCACCCTCTGGCTCTTGGCGGAAATGAGTGATCTCCCTCTGAATTTCCGTGGTCTTTGATGTCGGATAATACCTGTGCACGAACTTGTTTGCCAGATCGTCCCAAGAGGTGATTGACAATGGGGGCAGGGTCTCCAGTCACCTCTTCGCATGCCCCGCCAGAGAATGGGGGGAAAGGTGGAGATGGATTGCATCATCGGGTACACCATTCATTTTGAACCAATTTGTAAGCTATAAGAACCGGGAAAGGTGCACCCTCTCCTCTTCATCCTTTCAGCCATGGAACTGGATGGAGGATGTGATCAGTTGAATCCAGCATGGCTTGATCTCAAAGTTATTTGCTGGGATGGGCGGATACAGGATGACGGGGCGGAAGTCGGCGACCCGTGGAGTGTAGTAATACTTCATAGTAGGACCCGGCGAGGGTGGTGGATGTTGAGCCCCATCCGCCTGGGGAACTGCGTTATTTTCAAGGATCAGATTCAATGGGGGGACCTGCACGGGCATCCCTAGGATTTGGTTCTGCCCCAGGTTCAGGTTCCCCATGTTGTGCTCGTTTCCCATCTCGTATTCCTCTTCGGAGTTGCTGCTCAGATGGTCAACGACATGCACTTCCTCTTTAGCCGGTCTTGTTCTCTGTTCTCTCCTAAGTTGGCAACAAGTGCGTTCTAGCTCCGGATCCAACGGCAGTAAACCTCCCAACTGGCTACGGGTCATGCACTACCTGCACACAGCCAAGCAAGCAAACCCGTGAAGGCACAAGTGGGACAAAGCAAACACTCAATTGCAGAAAAGAAATGCTAAAGTAACATAAATCACGTTTCTTCAACAACCTAGCTGTCCCAGGCAACGGCGCCAAAAACTTGACACGTCTCTACCGTCACACTAGAAAGTGGCCAAGTGTAACCACCTACTAATGCGTAGTATAGCGGGTTTAGTTATAAATGTCAACCCGGAACCTAGGTGTGATGACTACTCCGTGACACTCTTATTATTTAGCGGTTCAAGTGTAGTGAAGGTCGAACTAAACTAGCAAGCAAGAGCAGTGAAAGTTGTGTTCAAAGTTAAGAGAGATCACCCAGATATGGTTCCCCCTAGACTGCAGTTAAGCCAGGTTGTAATTCACCAAGTTCAAGTTCAATGATAGTTATACCGCGGGAGGTTCTTAGACAGTCTGCAGTCTCGACTAAAGGTATCCAGACCCTCTCAATCCAAGTCCCCAGCGGGCGACTAACCTCCATCGGAATAAACAGATTGAGGCCCTAACAAACCAAACCTCCTCTACCGGAGTAAATCCGATCCAGAATAGTGAATTGACTCCTCGACTAAAGTCGTCGATTCACTACCTTCAATCAAGGGTGCTCTATCAACCTAGGTAGATATTCTCTTTCTAGGTCAAAGCAGAAATAACAGGAATTTGATATGGATCCATGCCATTCAGGAAATCAAACCTTAATTGAATATAATCAATATCAATGAATTCGGACTTGAGTTCATACAATGAGATCTAACATACAAATCTAGGGTTCTTCATACCCAAGTGAGTGAGAGAGTTTACTCCATAGAGAGAGAAGGAAAATCTAGCTCAAATGCAGAAAACATGTTGTGAAGGATGAGATTCTGCTTCTGGTAGTCAATCGGCACTTCTCTAAGCTTAAGCCGAACTCCAATGGTGCTGAAGATCGATCTAGGGGGCTTGGAGATTCTGGTTTGTCGCTCTCTCTCTCTCTAGGTATCTGCTTTCTTTCTCTAAAACTCGAAACTCTTGTAAAATTGGCCTTCTCTCCCTCAAAAGGGAGCAGATCGCGATCTTCGGCCATAATACCCGGTCGGGTATTTCAGCTGCCCGGCCGGGTATTTTTAAACGCAGCGCAATGGGGAAAGGAAATACCCGATCGAGGTTCAGAATACCCGATCGGGTATTTTAGCTATCCGGCCGGGACCCCTTATGGAATTCTGGCGTCCAAAACGTGTTATCCCCAGCCTCCTCTTGCATTTTACCCGGTCGGGTATTTTAACTCCTGACCGGGTATTTTCTTCTTCCAGCGCCCCTTCACTCCAGCGTCCTCCTTTTTTACCCGAAACTCGTTTCCACGCCTCCATGTCCACACCAAGTCCTGAAATATAACATTAACGCACAACCTAGCGTGAAATCGGCTTAAAACACGAGAATCGTCTCTCAAACGGCTCAAGAATGGAAGCATAAACCTGTGAAATTAATCGTTTATCACCACCCCACCTTCCATGTGTCTCCACTGAAGAAATACGTAGGACCAGTGCCGAGCACCGCTAAGATACCAAAGTCGGCGGAGACTGGGGATGGTGAGTTGGAGTTGGACGTCGAGCGTGTGGTAGATCATCTTTGGGTCAAGCATGGCAGAAAGCTGATGGAGGAGTGTTTAGTGAAAGAACTTACCAGAAGATGAGATGACATGAGAACCAATGGTCGGAGTCGCAAAAGTGATTTCCAGGCTTGGACCTTGAGGACAAGGTCCGTCTTGCAGAGGAGGGGACTGATGAAGGCACGAGTGGAATGGTTCACCAGTCAGACCGACGACCCAAGCCAAACCCGCGTTATGTCCAGTGAGAAGAGATAGAGAGATACTATGTTTTCATTATTTATATCGTGAGCACACTATTGACAATTTTTATCAATCAAGTAATCAATTAAGCCCTACCTTCCAATCCCTTTTCTTCTCTTGGCAGAACCCCAACCCCATTTTCTTTAACTCAATCCCATATTAATCCACTCCTACCCATGATCCATTCATCAGTAACCTAGTTTCCATTAAGTGAATTTGCCACCTTAAGCGTTGTTTAATAGTGACTGAGCTCTGAGAGTGACATTGGGGGATATGTTGAGTGGTGGTGACGACTCACTTCTAGAAAACTCGCTACGTTTTTTTTTTTTTTTTGTGCGTTATAAAATATAGAGAAAGCACGATGTTCGGGTTTGATTCTCACAACCTAGATATTGCTATGAGAAAACTCGCTATAATAAGACTATAAGTCCAATAATACTCACTTTCATAGGTTTGTCAAGTAGTCATCATGAGATCGTGATAACCCCAAACATACGAATCACGTTCGTTATTATAAATAATGTTTTGCCTTTGACCTTTGTGTATATATGTTCCCTTTTTCTTGTGATTCTTGATGATAAGGGTCTGTTTTTCGCATATTAATGGATGAACTTTCTGTTACAAATGATGATGGAACCCTATCATGCTTGCAGAGCAGCATAATTTGACTGAATAGTGAATTATATTTGAAGACCAACTCATGGCATTTAGGGGTGGGAAACGGGACGGGATTGAGTACTCGTCCACTCAAAATCGAATTTGTTTTCCGAGTAATGGGAATGAGGGGTCAACATCAACATTACCATCAACACCCCCACTCAAAATCGACCAACTCTGTAATTATCAAACAAACTATCCAAGATTCCATCCAAATCAGAGACTTGATAAGATGGTTCGTTAAGGGAATCGATAACTTCGTGACCTTGTGGGGAAAGGCGGAAGTGTAACCAGGGCTTCCTAGGGTTGGGGTCGCGATTCTTGCATATTCAAGTTTTGCTGCTTGTAATAAATGTAGGGCTTGTTTGTGCGGGGTGGGTTAGTGATTATTTGGTGGAGATGGTAAAATCTTGGATGGGTAGTACGAGTACCCATAATATCCAAACGGGTATTAACGGGTGACCCGCGGATACCCATTGTAGAACTAATGGATCCCAAGTCCCATCCCTTAAAACAAATTATGGGTATTTGGGTACTCGTAATCCTAAAATAAAAAGGTATGGGTATACCCAAATACCCGTTTTCCGTTGCCCACCCCCTAATGGTATTTCCATATCCGTGGTAGTGCGACTGTCTCTCTTCCGTTAAAAAAATTCTACCAGAAACTCAAGGCAACACTGCTCTAGCATATTCCATGCATTATTAAATGTCTGTTCACATGATTGTTCTGTTTCTGTTCTTGTCATTGTCTCTCAAATGCTTATTTCGAATATATTTTTCTCTTCCATTTCCATGCCTTGTAATTATTTAGGCTTCTCTCTTTTTTCTCGACTTTTCTATTTGGGAATTGGAATGGCAGTATGACAACACACTACTAGCTATTTTAATGGTGGGAGGTACAACGATGTCCAGATATGGAAGTTCCCTCGACTTGGGGGAGAATCTATTAGTACTCTTTTATAGTTAATGAGTTGGATCATAAATCTGGGTGAGTTGGATCAGCTCCTAAATCTGGCCCTCTATTTATGTGTAAAAACTAAGAAGGGACCACCATCCAAGTATGACCACCCTGAAACCTAACTTTCTTTAGCTTTTGCGTACAGTCCCATCATCGTGTTAGAGGGAGTGTTGCTTGAAGATAAAAGTATAGGCGCCAAGGAGTGCCAGTGTCAAACTGTATCCGCAGACCTATAGTAGTTTTTTTGTTCTCTCTTTGGAATTGGAGGGATGTGTTACGTATAACTTAGCTCAGCCTAGGAGATTTGGGGTAAATGAAGAACATAAGTACTTGAAATGGAAGAAATAAGCTAATTTTAGGGTTCAATCGCACAAATTCTTTATTACCCCGTTCGGGAGCTTATATTTGGAGCAGATCTTGTTTTGCAACACTAAGATCTTAAACCGTCAACCAGCTTGCACTTAATATAGGGAAAAGAAGGGGCGTTCTTTTTGCAATGGTGGTTGGCTGCAAGGTTTAAATTCAGGTGTGGAGAATGTTCTCATTTTAACATTACCTCTAGACTAACTCCTTGATGTAATCTGGTAACTTTTGCACCAATTTATGTTTTTTATTTATTTGTGATACAAATTCACATTCAATATGAGACATACGATATTATTGACCAGTCAAAGTATTTTTTTAGTTTCTCATTTTTCTTAATTCAATCATATTTTCTTCATTTTAACTTGAAATACGAAGTTTTGCATAGTAAGAACACGTTAATTATAATATATACAATGATATTATCTTTATTATATTTGAGAAATATTAATAAAACATCAAGGTACATACTTGTTGTAAACTTGTAATTATATCAATGTTGTATTGTATTATGATATTACAACAATGACAAGACCGACATCACCATTTGACCACTATATGGTAATATTATGATATGATTGATAGTGGTATGATGACATTTTTGCTCGTAAATAAGATTTTATATTATCTCACAACTATCGTACCCACATTTTATAAGTTACCATGTAAGAGTGGGTTGACCAGCCCTGTCCTGTACCTGGGGCAGGTTTTACCCATGCCGACCTACAACAGCGTAGGACGGGACATTGTATTGATGTAACTGTCTCGCCCCATTTTCATCACTACACCCGACCCGTTGCTATACGGCCTCATCGTCCAACTCAGCGTGCCTGAAGATGGCCCTCAACAGAGAAGTGGAGGGTGATAGGAATAAACTATCTCATATATTTGGCATTGACTATTTCTTCCCAACTCTTGTATTTTATTGTTGATATTCAGCAGTCTGTTGTGCCCACGTTTCTTGGGATTAGCTTTAGTTGTTAGCTCATGAACGTTGTATAAAAACCACACATCAATAACACATTAGACGGGTTTGACATTGCATTTTCATGGTATCAGAGCCTCTTGATTAACATCCTAAATATTAGGAACCCTAAAATCATTCTTTCCTCTTTCGTTGGCGGGATGAGTCCAAACTCATTCGGTCGCTTCTCCCTTTCATAGATCAATCACCTGCATATTCCTACTTTCCCACTAGCAATCCCTTCCTTCTTCCTCACATCTACCTCTCATGTCTGATTCCATCCCACTTCCTTTGTGGCCTCTGCAACAGTCTCCTGCCTCCAGCCGCCACTCACCGCCATGACCAGTCTCCCCTTCTCCTCTCTATTTCTCCCCTACAAACGTCGGTGCAGTTTCTGCCACTGACGAGCCTAGCAATGTTGTCACTTAATCTCCGCGTCTTTTCCTCCGCCATACCTCCCATCTCCAAGCCGGTCAAATTCATCCCGACCATCGTTCTTGTCTCTATGGAACGTCACCTCCGTCGCATCTCCTCTCCGGGCATGGTCACCAGTGCTGCCTAGCTTCTCCCCTGTCATTTCTTCCATATGTACTCTTTTCCAATCCCCTACTATTTCCTCTTTCTTGCTTCTGAAATGTCGACTCAGCAGCCACCACTGAATTTCTTCTTTCTGTAATTTTGCCGGTCAATTCCCAAATTGCTTACTTTCCTTCTTTCTCCAACCTTCTTTCCACAATTTTTATTTCCCAAATTCTTCTCTCTTCCCATCCTTTGAGTTTTGAGTAAATGCTAGTCACACTTTTCCTCAAAACCGACCTTGCTCTTTTAGAAAGCATTGCTTGTTGTTGCACCTCATCTTCTCACCACAAGCACTAGCCCTTCTTTGTCTCTTTATTCCTCTCTCTTTCTCACTCTCTGATTCCTTCCTTGCTTCCAGTTGGTTCCCCCTTTTCTCTCATCCAGCACTGGCAAGTGGATGAAAATAAAATAAAAAATCAAATCTATATCTTATGTTCTCGAATACTTCCATTGGTTTTTCTTCCCCTACCCAGAACGCATTAGTGCGCTGAATTGCTTCGAGAAATGCTGAGAATCAAGCTTTTCTAAATTTGAGCTTCAAATTCAGGCAGTACTGGCAGCCTCCCTGCTTTCGATTGTTCTCCCTTCCTTCCCAGACCAGAAAATAGAGTACCCACAGAAGAGAGAACCAGTCATGGACGGGAGCTTTCTCTGTCCGGCACAATACCCAGAGCACAGAAGTTCTACCTAGATGTACACACAAAGCCATCATCTTTCAAGCGGAAGAAGACTTCCAACAGGGGCGGCGGGTGTGTGCCCAACGTGACGACTCCAGAGCTCATCCCCTTTCAGCAATTTTGTTCCATGTTTCACCTCTACGAGGCTTGACTTGCGGGGGCGTGATAGGAATACAATATCTCATATATTTGGCTTTGACTATTTCTCCCCAACTCTTGTATTCTATTGCTGATATTTAACAGACTGTTGTACCCATGTTTGCTTGGGATTAGCTTCAATTGTTAGCTCATGAACGTTGTATACAAACCACACATCAATAATATATTAGACGGGTTTGGCATTGCATTTACAGAGGGAAGTGGGCACTGTTGTCTCGAGAAGTACTGAAAACTAGCTCGTTTTTGCAACTTTTAGTTCCTCGAGGCCCAACTACCTTAAACACAGTGTTGATTCTCTTGGTTTAAGACCGTCAATGCAGGCCCATAAACTCCTTTTAGCCCACCATTTTGTCATTTTACCCGAGCCCGCAAAAAAAAATTTCCCAGGAACGGCATGCCGTTGAAAGTGACGGAATAAGTTTGTCTTCGTCCGCTGACACCACTCCTTAACCCCTCTGTAGTTCCGTCCTATCTGTTAACTCGAAACACTGAAGAACATACATCGCCTTCGTTATCCCCTTACAAATCGCGTCACCAACTTCTATTTCACCTCGCCATCCCCGCCGTCGATCACGATGAATCTCTTCCTCTCATCAACGGTCCAAAACTGCTCACATCAATGGATCGGATCTGTTTCGCTATTGGTAAAAGGCTTATGCAATAATACATAACACAAATTGGACCAATAAACCATCAAATATCTTCGTCGATGAGCTGTAAAATTCAGTTGGTGACGTGTAACAATACATGCATACAAGGACCGTACAAAGTCAACCACGAATGACGGAAGTGGAAATCTAATTGGTGGCCACGTTTACGCTAGGGAAGCTAATTTCATTAACTAGGCCGCTTTTAATTGTTTGATTGCTAAGTTAGATTAGGACTTGAGCATAGGGCATGAAATGCGTGTGAAAGTTTGGAGGTGACTTTTTCCATTAATCTAAAGCAAAAAAATTACAAATAAAAATGTATCATGCTGATTTAAAATTCAGGATATATCTAAAACATGGATTCCGAACTCAATGTTTAAGTTAATTTGTTATAAATGAATTATCCAACAAAATTAAAACAAAATAAGAGTGTTAATTTGCATTGGGTTTGTTTCTAGAAAGGTTAGTTTTGGTTTCTAATTTTTTAATTCTTATTTCTAGACAACTCTTTTTTTATATAAACTCTAGACAATTCTAACAGGGATGCATGATGCATCACCTTCCTACACCGGAATGACTAAAATTTCGAAAAAAAATCACAAAATACACTAGTTCTTAAAAAAATTCTCAAAATACATAAGTTATAAAAAAATTTCCAAAACTACATATGTTTGGCATTCACCGTTTTTGACAAACGCAGTGAATACATTTCACCATTTTAAAATAAAACGATGACGTGTTCACCGTCTTTGTATAAAGCAGTGAAGTGTTCACCACGTTTAACAAAAATGGTGAAGACATCACCGTTTAAGTTAAAAGCGGTGAAAACGTCACCGTCTTAGGGCAAAGCGAGGAACATCTTCACCGCCTCAGGCTAAGGCGATGATTATTTCCCACGTTTCCCAACCATGGTAGGTGAAAAATTAGGTCACAACTACCTGATGTTCACCGTTTGAGACAAACGCAGTGATGTTGTTCACCGTTTGAGACAAAGGCGGTGAATGCTGGCCGATTTTCCTTTAAATACCACTCCCACCAGCAGTTGTAAAAACATAATCCCCCCCCCCCTCTTCAAATTTCAGCAGCCAAAACCGAGCAACATGCACAGAACAGGAATTTTCGGTGTTATTTAATTTTCGTATTAATTCCTAATGGTTGTTTTTAGTAGTTATATTGTTATGTTATGAATTACTGGAATTATGCTAATAGTTACTTATTGTAAATTGTAGATATGGGTAAATTCAAGAAGTTTCAGCTTATTATTCGGTGGAATGGAAGGGTTACAAACTCTGACATAGGGATTGATTATGAGGACGGTGTATCCACTATGCTGAAAATTGAGTCGCGATTCAATTTTCAAGAACTCTGTGATATTTGTGCAGACAGGCTTTGTACGAGCGGACAGACGAGACTTGGTAAAATTAGTTACGGGTATCCATGTATGAGTACTGGCAGGCTTGTGTACCAAGAAGTTATCATAAACGTTGATGACGCGGTTACGATGATGTTACAGTTCCTAAGCGATAACGGGATGCGGCAAGCAGAGGTGTATGTTGAGACCGAGGCGGTCGGTGAAACTCATTCTCACCAGTATTCTTATGATGATGGTTTTGCAGGAGGGTACGGATTGGGTGGTAGTTCGAGCAACTACGAAGGAGGTGGTTATACAGGAGGTTACGGAGAGGGTGGTAGTTCAATCAACTATGGTGGAGGTAGTAGTGCAGGATGGGTGCCATCGGAAGAATACTCGCAACAGGATCAACCTGTCGATGGCGTTCAATGGCCTGCTTGGGGCCTGAGTGGGCTGAAATCGAGAATACCATTCGAGCAGGGCGTACTTCACATGAGTGATAAGACGATGTTGGTGATGGTGGTCATGTTGATCCTTCTGGGCCGAGCTATCCATTCGACTCGAGTGACGATGATACTGAGGAAGATTTGAGATCGTGAGGCACCGACGCCATACTACACACAAGTTCCAACTCAATTTTTACATAGTCAGAATGATGCCCCCGGCTTTCTGATGTGGAAGATCGGACTTAGCCGCAACCACAGAGCATACTTAGAACGAGACTAGAGCGGATAAATTGAGAGAGAAAGAATTGTAATTGTTGTGGTGTGATTTGTAAGTGGGGGGAAGGGTTCTATTTATAGTGGGGGCAAAGAGGGGAAGGGTTCTGCCAAAATTTTAATTGGGGAAGCATCACCGTGTTCGACGAAGATGGTGAATACACCGCCTTTATCGAAGACGGTGAAATGGGCGACGTGGCTTGCTGTGAGGCGTCGGATCTGGGAAGAAAACCACGATCCGCGCCTCACCGCATCTGACGGCCACGGTGAAAGGAAAAGCAACGCGGATCGCTGACGCAAACAAACACGGGGTATTCACCGTGTTTGTCTAACGCGGTGAATACACCGCGTTTGTCCACGTTAGCGATCCGCATCGCTTCATCGTGGCCTACAAAAACGGTTTAATATACACCGCGTTTCAGTAAAACGGTGATCTTTTCACCGTTTGCCTCTAAAACGGTCATTGACTCGCTCATTGTTCACCGTGTTAGAGAAGAACGGTGAATACGTCACCGTTTTTTATTTTTAACGGTGAAATATTCACCGTCTTTGTCAAACGCGGTGATAGTCTTCACTGCGTTTGTCAAAAACGGTGAATGCCAAACATGTGTACTTTGGGAATTTTTTTTATAACTTATGTATTTTGGGAATTTTTTTTAAGAACATGTGTACAGTGGGATTTTTTCCAAAATTTCCCTGAGAGAGGACGTGACAAAATGGGGTTGGAGGCTTGGAGCAGATAATAGTGGACGAGACAGTAATTTTGTCCCTAATTAATTAACCAGGATGGGGAAAGGAAATGACATTGAATTGAAGGCAAATTAGGAGACGGATGACTTCCTTCCTTTCCTCTCGTCGTAAGGTTGTCAAACCGGTTTGTACCAGTGTGCCGGTTTAGTAAGTGAATGATTCGACCGGTAGTACATACCGGTTTGTGCCGGTTCATGCTGATTAATATTAGAAATAATTTACAAATACTCATATTTAAACACGACATTTAACATCAATACCTAAATATTTGTACTTTAATCCAACAAATAACATCAACATTTAACTTTTTAAGACATAAAGAAATAATAAATTACTTTTTAATTTTTATCAATCATGCCGGTCATACCGATTTTATGACCGATAGAAGTTGAACCAGGTTCAACCAGTGATACTCCGGCCGGTGTGACAACCATGACCCGTAGCGAAAGCCAAAACAGAGTCTTTCACAGGGACAATTGGTTTTGCAAACGCCTTGAATTTATCACTTCCTCCTTCCTTCGTCCCATTCTTTCTCCACCAGCAAGCTCAGTCAGCCTCTCTCACCTTTATCGAATACCACCGCCGTCCGGTGTAGCAGATCCAGCTGCTATTCTTCTTCTTCCTGTACCTCCGCAATGCTGGTTTAGATCGCCGGATTCGGTGTCTCTGAACAGTGTTTTGCCTCCGAGCGCTTGACCGACGCACAGAAGGAAGCACGCACCACCGCCGGCGAATTGCGAGAATGGGAGCAGTGCCTTCTTCCCCCGGTCACAGCGAGGCGCGTCCTGCGGAAACGGCGGAGTATTTAGTTGGAACGTTTGTCGGTGAGAAATCTTTCCCCGTCGGTTCAGATTTCTGGCAGAAACTGTTGGAGCTCCCTCTCAATCTGCGGTGGCCTGCTGATCGCGTTCGCGAAGCATGTCAGCTGTTTGGTTAGTATTTTCTCGCATTATTATCCTCTCCGCTTGGGAAATTTCTTGGATCAGAAGTGGGAATTAGTAGTGAAGTTTAGAGGAGTATCAGGTTGATTAGTTGGCGACGGTTTTGTGAACTTCGTATTCGAGGTAGAGATTGTGTCCGAAGTTACTAGAAAGGTCCACTTGCATTGTTGAATTGCTTGGGATCTTCCTTGCCTGTAGAATCGATGATTTAGGGTGCCATTGACGATCAATCGAATGTTTGGCAAGCGATCTTGACTTGGAAAAATTGGGATGGCTCGCTGGAAGGATCTTTGAATTTGTTTTTAAGCGTACTGTTTTTGCTGGTCATCCCTGTAGTTTGCGTCCTCCTGTGTTTTCACTGCTGGCATTGATGAAACTGTCCTTTGTTTGCTTTGCTCGATTTACATGTAGCACGAAACAACTCTTGCACCAGGCATCTCGCGAAGATACTCATTCACCTGGCGCAGTGTTTGCAAGAGTGTATGTCAGTTTCTGGTGCACCGTCATCCACGTATGTGAAGGCTAGCAACGCAGCATACATTTCCTCTGTCTTTCTCAAGCACTTAATAGAGAATGCACAAAGCAACAGTGTTGAGGAGCTATATCTTTCACTGAATGACAGCGAGCCAATTCCTCCGAATTTCGTCATAGGTAGGTTTTTGCTCTGGTAACTTGTCCTTATGTGATTTCTCTTCAACTGGGATGAAGTGAGTGAGTCGGTGTATTTTCTTTTTTCTCTTTGGATGTACTGTGGGGTGGAGCTGATCTACATATTACTGAATTTTAACAGAATTGATGGAGAACTGAAGGGTATGATTCTTATTATTGGCATTAACTGCTAATAGGAGTGGTTGACATAGGGTTTTGGCTGCTGTAGTCCTAGGAATTTACATGAAAAGTGCGCAATTGTTGTCTATTTCCAATATTTGAATTGGGATAACTTACTGGTAAAAGACTTGTAGAAAAATTAGAAGCTGATGGTGTGATTTAGTGCTAAATCTTGATCGTTTGAAGTTGTAGATGTTGGTGATGAATACCCCTTCTCCACATTTTTTGGTATAGATAAGGTTTCTGATTTCTGGCAGTTATGTCCTGGCTAAAATACTTTCCAATTTTTGTCTGCAGATCAGAACGTTGAAAATCTTGTCATGCATAATGTCCTCAAGTTTATTGGTTTGGTGGATGTCAGGTATCGCATGGAAAGCTATGATTTGCTTATCATATCCTCAAGATTTATATCTTCCTCGACCTAAAATATATTTGTGTTTGCTCAAGCCCAAACACTAGCGGCCTGCATCAGGAGTTGCTCAACTTCTTGTTTGTTGCGATGTCAACTCAACTGCTCTACGGGCCAACTCCTGGGCCAGCAGATATGAACCCATTCATTGATGCTGCGATGACTCGGGTTAGAAGATGAATTTCTCAGTGTTGTTTCTATGAAGTTTCTTGATGCTTTCCACCTAAAAAAAAAAGATTTTAAGAGTTTCTTGATCCTGAAGTCTTATATAGTTATATGCAATCTGCAGGAAAGTTCCTTGGTTACTATGGTTGTTCAGAGGTTGCTGCTCAATTACATTACGCGGCCTCGAATCTCGTTGAATGTTGGGTCTTATCCTCCATTTGGAGAGGCAGGGCAGCCTGGGGTGCTGCAAAGAGTGGGCTCCGCTGCTGGTAAGCTATTGTCAGTTTATAACTGTAGAAATAACCTTGTATCTGTAATCCGTTGTGAGCCTTATTTGCTGAAGTCTTTTATTTGAATAGAGGAAGTACGTCAAAGCATTCGCTTTTGACATTTGACTTTTGAGAATGTAAAGACAAAAGAGAAGTACTTGAAGATTGCCCAAAAAAACTTAAATGCATCAGTGATGTGACTGTTTTGGGAACTGAAATAAAGCACCTCTGTGATCTCTCTTTGCTTTGTGATGCTTCTTTCCGTTCCGCTTTATACTCCTTCAGCTGATGTTGTTCTTTTTGCTTTCCTAAGATGCTTCTATTGACATTAGAATGGTTGACTTGCAGCTAATTTGGTCTTACTCCCATTCAACTATTTGGTAAGTTCAAGTGGGCAAGGTGTACGGAACCCGTTAGCAGAGTGCAGCCTCCATGTGTTGCTTATTCTTAATTATTACCGCAAATGCAACCTGGCAGACGAGTCCATAACAGATAGAAGTGATGACAGTGGAACATCAGATTCTCTTTCAAAATCATTCGTCGAGAACCCTTACTGCAAAGCACTGGAGAATATGAGGGATATCGATCGTAAGAGACCTCCCTGCTTTATTGCTGCTTTTATCGAAAGGAATATATGACTTAGTATTTGAAATACCTTTTTGCTAATACGCTTGCAGTTGATCGAGTGGATTTTGAGAAGAACGCACACAATCCTTCAGTTGTGAGATTGCCATTTGCGTCGCTTTTTGATACTCTTGGCAGGTAGGTGTCATTTCTCTCTTGTTGGCTGCATTGTGTTTGTTTTCATGCTCTGACATGCATTATGTGAACTGTTCCTAAATTTCTGCATCGAGTCCAATTTTGATTGAAGTTAGAACCACTCACTCATTGCACACACAACCAGTTAAAATAGTCAGGGGGTGGGAGATAGAGATATGAAGAGCAGTTATTCAATTGAAACTAAGCGACCATGTATTATGCTTAAAGGTCGCATGACTTTTGGTAGAGCATCAAGTTCTGGTCTACCAAGTCAGAGCACTTGCTTAAAGGCTGTTAAACACCTTTTACTGCTGTTAGATGGTGAATATTCTCTAGCGTTCATTGATTGGATAGAATTATAGTATGCATATCTTTGAGTAATTCACTACAGATGATTTGTTCTGCAGGTGCTTGACTGGTGAAACAGCAGCTTTATTGCTTTACTCGTTGTTGCATGGGAACTCTGATTTCTTGGAATATGTTCTGGTGCGAACTGATGTAGATACATTGGTATGAATATGGGCTTATCCTTGGATTTTGTCCTCGTAGTAATTGGAAGTGGCAAATTCACAATTATTTGGCAATTTTGTAGCAGCAGCCTAATATGGTGTGCTCTTTTGCATTAACTTGCAGTTGATGCCAATCCTGGAGACTCTATACAATACCTCAAGGAGGTCATCTAATCATATCTACATTTTGTTGATTATACTTCTCATATTGAGTCAAGATTCTTCGTTTAATGCAAGCATCCACAAGATGGTAATGATTTGCCTCCTTTGGCTCTATTTGGTGCTGCGTTTCGATTTGCTTCTGATCCTAGTTTATCTTCCTCGTTTACTTGCAGATATTGGCTAGTGTTCCATGGTATCAAGAACATCTTCTCCATCAAACGTCTCTTGGCTCTTTGATGGTGATAATCCTGATAAGGACCGTGAAGTATAATCTCTCTAAATTGAAGGTAATGTTATATACTTGTGTTATTATCATGGCTAGGCAAATCATTTTAGTGACCATTTGTTCTCTTGTGAATTTCCTAATGATTTATTGATGACTTACATGTACCGTCAAAGATTCTATGTCCAATGACTAAATGATGATATGCACCGATTGCTATAACATAATTGTTTAGTGATGTGACTCAAAGCACTGATGCAACCTTATGCAATGATTGTGGGTGTAGGTTACTAGTTCTTGCTCATCAGCTCAATTTGTTTTTTTTTATGGCTTTAGATGGCTACTGCTCTAGCAGGATAATTATTTCATAGATATAATTCATATTGCACAGTGAGCATAGTGGCACTCATTGTTCAACCTCTTGTCTTATTCCTTCTTTTGTCAACACGTTTTATTGTGGGGTTTGTAAACTTGTTAAAAATGAGAACAGGAATTCGTGATTCTGATTGTATACCCATACCACTAACAGATAGTTATCATCTGATGAATCGTCGAACTATACTGATTGTAATATTTTGAACCCCCATTCTGATTAGTCCATGAACCTTCTGGACCATCTTAATTCTCGTAACTTGATTTTCAACAGGATCTCTATTTGCACACAACTTGCCTGGCAACTTTGGCCAACATGGCTCCTCATGTGCATCGTTTGAGTCCATATGCATCACAGAGGCTGGTTAGCCTGTTCTACATGCTCTCGCGCAAGTATGTCACTCTTAATTCTTCTGCTTGTATTTTGTGAATTTATAAAAAAAAAAAAATTAGCAATCCGGTGCTGGTTTTGATTTGTACAGTATTAAATATGGTCATGGTTTACTTAGAAGGTGTATCTTATGTCACACTTTAGGTACAATAAGCTTGCCGAGAGGATTGATGAGAAGAGAGGGAAGGGTGGGTTGGTTGTAGAGAACGACCTTGCACTTGATATGGTAATCGTCTGTCTAATACGAAAGCAGCCCCTGGTGCTTCCCTTTCTGATTGTCTTCTTCATGACTTAACTGCGTTTTTGTTTCAGTCAGCAGAACTGCATATATACGCTGATTTCCTGAGAATCGTGCTTGAAATATTAAATGCCATTTTAACCTATGCTCTTCCTCGGAATCCTGAGGTATATTTTCATCTTGGTAACTTAATATGTTTCTTCGGAGGTTAAAAGATTGTGTTTTGAAATTTGAAAACATCTGTACTCATGTCATGTGGGCAGGTTGTGTACGCCATCATGCATCGGCAGGAAGTTTTCCAGCCTTTCAAAAGTCATCCACGCTTCAATGAATTGATTGAAAATATCTTTCTGGTATGCTCCATAACTTATCATGACTTTGCTCTTGCTCAGTGTCTTAAGATTTTTATATGGACGTCTGACAGCCAAGTTTCTGTTTTAGCCGCATGGCTAGAGTGTGGGTGACCAATTGAACAACCTCGTTTCTATTTGAAATAGGATGTCGAACTGCAAGTTGTCAATACATGTTGATCAGTTGGATCTTTCCCAATGATAACAAGTGTTTTTCTGGAAATGCTAGGTTCTGGATCATTTCAACAGCCGAATCGATGCGCAGAAAGAAGATGGTGAATGGTCAGTGGAGAAGGTTCTCCAACTCATAATCAGCATTTGTCGATCGTGGCGGGGTGAAGGAATGAAGGTAAACAAAAAAAAATCAATCATTCTGTTCAGAATCATCTGCCGTGCCGCTTTGTATGAACCGGCTCTAGTCAGGGGTTTCCTCTAGTGACACTTATCTAACAAAGTCGTCTTCTGACAAGCAAACCCATACATATCTTGCAGATGTTCACTCAGTTGCATTTCTCGTATGAGCAAGAGAGTCATCCAGAGGAGTTCTTTACACCATACATCTGGCGGCTAACCTTTTCGCAATGGTATTATGCTTCCCATTTAAATCTCCTTTACACTATTGGAGTGGCTTCTTCAGTTACCCGGCTTCAATTCACTGCTAGTATTCTGATTACTACTTTTGTTCATATGCAGTGGATACAGCTTCGATGCCAGTGCCATAATTCTCTTCCCTCCTGATTTGCCATTGGTAGTATGTATCTGTTTTGGTTAACCATTTTGATGAACAGTTTGGTTGCAGATCGAATTAGCGATTTCCTTTTGTAACTTGTGATGCTGAACAACTAAACTCTTGGGCGTGAACTTTGCAGAAACTTGAGAGTGAGGACGGTGAAAAGACGACCGGCCATGAGAATGGCGAGTTGGAAAAACGTCACGCTGTTCTGCTGGATGTCTGATGGTGAGGGCATCAACTGCTTCGTAAATGTTGGTAATCGTCAAGTCACCTTTGTATGTAAATATTTATATAAGAAGTTAGGAGATCAACATTTTTTCACCATCTTCTCATTGTTTCCCCGCCTGTCGTCTGTCGATATGCATTGTATCCCAGTAGCAGTTTTGCCCCGTATAGAAGGATGAGAAACATTACTGTGTTGGACACTAATTAGTTAATAATTTCAGTTCCCTTGTACCTTTGGGAGCAGTAGTAAGCACTGGTGTACGTATACTATATTGTTACGTATCTTTAAAATACGTACATTTTTATCTCAACATCGGAATGGGGAATTATATAGCTGTGGTAAGCTGAACCAACTTTTTAACGGTATTGAAATGGCGACCAAATAGTGTTGGTTATCATTGGTATACTTACTACTAGTCGCATACAATACAAGTACAATCTTGAGAAGGCATATGTCTACAAAAATTAGCAAATTACACAAAGGGACCACCCTTGACGTACTCGGTGAAGGCCAGGGCGACGAGACCCAGCATGGCGAATCTACCGTTCCACATCTCGGCATCGGAGGTCATTAACCCACCGGATTTCGACTCCACGGTGATCCCCTTGAACAACGGGATCAAAGAAGCGAGAGTGAAGACGACGCTGGTGGCGATGAACCAAGTGGCGCCTTCCTCGGAGATCTGGGTGAACACGTCCTGACCCTTGGTCAGCTCCACCGCCAGGGCGGCCACGAAGCCTACCATCGCCAGCCTGCCGTTGATCCTCTCCGGCGCCGGCCCGCTGAACGCGAGGACGTCGCCGAACTTGGTGCTCACCTTGGGCTTGGGTGGAGGAGGGGGAATAGTTGGGATTTGGGATGTTGTTGGGGGTGCGGCTGCTGCGGGCTCGTTGGTCTGTCCACTCTTCTCATCCTGCAAATTAAAACATCGTCGGCAATTAGATTCCGATGCATTCACGAGTATCTGACACGACAGGAGAATGAGCAGATGAAGAAAGAGCTCTTACCCCAGTGGCCATGCACAAGATGGCATTTCTGCTCAGACGAGGAACGCTTGCTATGCGAGGAAAGGAGTAGCTGGTGGTTCTGGCGCGGCTAGCCACAGATGGGCTGGAGAAGATTGTTTGCAAGGTCGACGAGGTCAAGGCCATTTTAACGAAAATGTGTGGAATTGCTTAAATCTAACACAGAAGAAGCTAGCCAAAGCCCAAAACTCAAGCTTCAAACTTGTAACTATAGAATTGAACAAGGGTGAATGAACACTATGATGCTCTGCAGTTGCCGTTGGGTGGCAATCAATATAAAGGGAAAGGGAAAAGGGAAAGTGAGGATATTTGAGGCTCCACGTCGGCTGGTATCTTTTCCAGGAAAAGTGAATGGATCACGTGGGTTGGATTGTCGACATATGGGGGAAAGGGGATGACGTGGTTAGTTTCAGAGCCGTCAATGGCTGCTCGGCCCCCACAGGCTAGTGGGGAGGAGGAGAAAGAAGAACTTGAGGCCAGCATTGGTCTTGAGGATTTCGATTTTCTAACAGGTTTATTGTATGTTCTTCCTTCCAGTACATTCTAGTTACCGGTCCAGAAATTAGCCACGGTTTTACCACATCAACTCGACACGTCTCGCTTTGTACTTATTCAAGGCCAATTTCAAAACTCACACCTTCACTAACTCCAACAAAACCTGAATCTAATCTACGGATACCTTACTCGATCCAATCCGGTTAACGCGGGTAAAACTCATTTTTACGGGTTTAGGGTCGGGTTCGGGTTTAGATAAGATACACTATTTACTAGGTTCGTTGGATTCAGGTTTAGGGATAGCCGACCCATGGATATCCGCCCACACTTATTCTATCGCCCTACTCGACCCAAACCCTACCCTAATTCTAATTTCCCCCAATCTAACTCTCCCCAAATCCTATCCTAATTTTATTTCTTACCAAGTTAATGTTTTCTTTTCCCCGACAGAAGTTTGAGGGATAAATTAATAAATTGAAGTTGAACACACCAAGTCTATTGGTTTGCTGCTCTCTCACAAACAAAAAGGGAATGAACGAAAAATAAAGAATTGTGTGCTTTTATTTAGTGTAATTGTGATATGTTTGAATTTTCTATACTAGTGTTTTATGTATGGATAATATGTATGGGAAAAAGATGTTTGACTTTTATTTTGATAGGAACTTGTTATTGTAAATTTTTTATCACAAAAACCCAAGGGTACCCATGAACCCGCGGATACCCAGCAGGTTGGGTTGAGTTTGAATTTTCCAAACCCAATGGGTTTACCCAGGGTTTTTTACAGATAAACCCATGGGTTTGGGTTTGGCAAAACCCGACCCAATCCAACCCATTGCCATCCCTAGACTCCATTTCTTGCTTGCTGTTTGAGCTCCTCCATTATTGGTAGGGTTGTTAATGAACCAAGCTATTCGCGAACGGCTCGGTTTCGAACTTGTAATAGCTCGTTAGATCCAATAAAAGCTCGATTCGTTTATGAACGAGCTGAGCTTGAGCTTAACCTTATTCATCTCGTGAGGCTCGTGAACTAACTCGATTATGTGGCTTGTTGAGTTCGACTCATGAACTATCTCATTTTGAGCTCATGAGATGTCTAAACATTGTAACTAGCGAGCCAACTTGATTAATAATTTAAGTATGTGAGCAAATATGTCTCGTTATGACATGAAGATCAGTTAATCACATGTATCGTATATGACATATAAATATTATGATATTTAATTCATTAATTATCTTAGAGTTGAGCTCTGACCAAAATTTTGATCATAATGATGAGTCGAGATTCAATAAATGAGCTGGCTCGCGTTCAGCTCGACTCAGCTCGTTCATAAACGAGCCGAGCTCGAGTTCGACTTGTTTATAAACGAACCAAAGCTGAACAAGGAAAAACTCAGTTCGGCTCGGCTCATTAACAACCCCAATTATTGGTCCCATTGTTTGCACTAATTAGGAGCTAGGTTGAGGCTTCTAGGATGTTCTTTCACAGTGTTGAAAATCCAAGTATAGCTTGCATGTGTTATTTGTTAGACCTTCTCCAATGCAAAATGTTAGAATACATAATTTTGACGCTTTTGGAAGTTGCGATTGTTAAATAGATGCATTGTTGTGAATATATGTATAATATTATACATGTATTGTCGAATTTGATACATTATAAAATACAACATTTGGTATGTGTGTTTGTATATGTCACATCAGTGAAAAACTTAGGGGTCGTTTGAAAGTTATGATTCTAGATGAATGATTCTTTGAATTCATGTATTATGGAGAATTTATCGTTTTATTGTTCCAAAACTTTATTCAATACATGCATTTGAGGTGGGCACTCAAATCTCATATCACCCACAATCACTCATTTTAAATCTCAGCAAAAAGGTGAGATTCTTCTTTTGAGATTGTGAGCTTTAATTTGTTCAACATCTAGCTCATAAGTGATTTTTCTTTTCTTTAAAATTTTTGAATGGCTACAAAAAAAAAAGACATTTTTCCAATCATCTATAATTCATACAATCTTTGAATTTACAATACATGTATTCATCAAATACACATATTTGAAGAATCTCAACTTCCAAACAACTCCTTAGATAAAACAATCTCAACTCAACAATCACTTGTTTTGAGTAATAGTTTCTGCCACATCACAAAAACAATTCATGTATTGTGTCGGCTAAAAAATCATAAAAATGATGCATTCTAAGCAATACAATGATAGTAACAATTTCAAAATAACAATCGCAACTTCCAAACGGCCCTTTAATTTGACATTCTTGCTCTATAAAAAGTGGTTTTACTTCAATGGGCAATGCCAAAAACTCAAAGTGCTAAGTAACTAATTTTTAACCTTTTGTCCTAATTTAGTTTAGTGTATATTGTTATCATTTTATTTGCATAATTTTATTATTATTTTTATATAGGTAGGAAAAATTGATTAAAACATGTATTTCGATGCATTTTTTAATTTTGGGCATCTTTTTTTCATTAGTGATTATAACATAATCAATGAAGAAAACCCAATAATTGGTTGACAATAGGTTCACATATATGACAAATTGATAGTGATATAATGTGCAGACAGTCTTACCATAGTGATAAGATTATGATATTACTAATATCATAGCGATAAGACTACAAATTCAACCAGCCGAATCGATTTCAAGTTAACAACCATGCTACCAATTCATTGAAATATTAAGAGAACATTGGCAAGTAGTAGGGTTAGGGACATCGTGCCTTTCAATATCTACAATCATATGTTAGGAAAACACTAGAGCTATTTTTAAGATTTAGTTACAACAATTCTTACTTTTAGTTGCTCTTTGCTTTAAATTCCTATCCATAATATTTGCATTAAAACCCAGTATTCAAAAGCAATTTCCGTAAGGAAAAAAAATCTTGTCGTGGCAATTTGAAAACGTGAGAATTTGTCTCAATTTCCATGTTTTACAAAAGCAAGGAATTGATTTGTAAAAATTGAACGAAATTCAACATTTGGATAGAGTTTATTTTTGTGGGAATTGATAGTATGGAATTTGGTGAAAATACAAAAATGCCCTCTTTTTGTTTATATACATACCCCCCCCCCCCCCCCAATTAAAGGTTGTTGTTGTGTTCTACGAACTACTAATTGCTGATCACTTAAGTGCTAAATACTGCTAACTAACTATTAATTGTAATTACTAATTAATAATGCTGCTAACTATCAATTATTGTGTCTAGACATTAACATAATGAAAGTTCTAACTACCTAATTGTAGCTGCTGGCATGTTGCTAACTATAGCCGGAACAAAAGTTCGATAGAACTACCTAAAAGCAAGAACAATCAAGAAATATGGGCGAGTTCAACAAATTAATACAAAATCAATCCTGAAAATTGTCGTTTAAACATGGAATACTGCAAGACCCCGAGAATTTTCACTGGTATGTGAGCTATAGCAATTAGTCATTTAGTCTATCGGGACTCATCCCATCTTTCACTTGCATCGACTATACCTAGTGCTCATTGGCTTCGACCCAATAGAGGACTTTACCTTCGGATCCATCTTCGGACCGTGGCCGCTCTCCCTCTTTCTTTAGATTTTGTCTTCCCCTTGTCTTGTCTCTATTACATCGGTTCCTTCCTCTTGGTCGACATTCCGATTAAGTGAATCCAATGAGGAGAAGTAGGAAAATCGATGGCAGATGAGATAACTAAATAAATCCAAAAGTAAGAAATCGACAATGGATGAGAGGAGATATACGAAGGTAAGGGGAGAAGAAGAAGAAGAGGCGCCACTGTTGAATGAAGAAGAAGGGTTTGCTTTTGCAAGAAATAGCTTGCCGAAATCGGGGAAGGAGAAAAGAAGAAAGGAGAGGAAGGACATAGGGACAAATTTGGGGAAGAAAGGAAGAAAACATGGTAATGTCAAATTACTAGGGGAGATGTGGTATTCTCAATTATCATGAATGTGGTAATTGAAGTCAATTTTCATGGTCCAATTCTCATATTCTTTTTGCTCTCCCAAACGTGAGGTTTTAATCCAATTACTGCATTATTTGGTAATTGGGTCCAATTACTGCATTACCTTTCCACATCCAAACGTCCCTTTTATTTTTGTTGTACATTAGTTTATCGTTATAATGAGGTGGGTTAATCCAATTTGATATGAATCCGGAATCGATCATATCGATGATAATGGAACTTTGAGAATCAATGAAGTGCTTAAGTGACAACAAATGAATAGGAGTCAATACATTGGAAAGATCTCATGGTGAATCTCGTACGTACATCATTTGGTCCTTACAGTTCGTCGCCATCGAATGATCCTTAGAGTAGGTGGGTCGCCAACATACTTCATCATCAATACCTAGAAAATGTAGTTAAGAGAAACAAATAGTTTTAAGATAAGTGTTAGCAAGTCCTATGATGCATCCTCACACACCCTACCAGACCCCTTAAGTCCATTGTAAATACTCAAATATTTATAAATACAAATAAAAAAAATCAATATTTTATGTTCATTTCGAACCACCTTATAATTGTTAGTATATTTGATTGTTAAGTTACATTATTTAATTTAGTATTTGGTATATACTGATACCATATCGAAACCTTTTCGATTGAGATTGGTTTTGTTCTTTATTTAGTATTTGAGATACCAATAAATTGAAGAGAGAAACTTGCCTAATTGACAACTAGAAAGCACGCGTTAAGGAAAATAACCATACTTAAGAGAAGGAAAAAATCAATTTAAGGTAAGGTCAAACAAAAGAGGAAATTTGCCTAATCGACATCTAAAAAAGGGTAGGTTAAGAAAAAAATGTTTTAAGGTAATTCCTAGCAAATCTTATGGTGCATCATCCCACACTCCACCAGATCCATTAAGCAAATTTGCACTATTTATATACTAAAATCATAGCAAAAGAGGAAACTGGTTTAATCGACTATTGGAAAAACGACGTGGGTTGAAGGCGACATACGACATATGTAAGAGAAGAAAAAAAACTACTTTAAGCTAAGTCTTAGAAAAAAGTGTGTTAAGGAAAAACAATTTGTTTTTAAAGTAAGTCATTGCAATTATTATGATACACTGTAGCAATATTAATAATATTTCTTATTTGTTTGTCTCTTCATTAGCAACAATGGAGTACTTCACATGGAAGGCAAGTTGATTGGTGGTAAAAGCATCAATGCTAAAAAAACATGTGTTGTCTCCGGTTCGCACAAACAAAGACAGTAAATTGATCCTGTTTGTACCGACTAGCTCCGGATCGAACAATGATATTTGTTGGTGTGGGGTTGATTCGCGATCCGTTCGTCTGATCTCGTCGGGAGGGAAGAACCTGTGAAAGAATCGGGGATGCCCCCCGGATTAAGCTCCGACGATCAAGTTAGTTTAAGTTTGAGAAGAGAGTTGAGAGAATAAGGTAGAGAGATAAAGTGTAGAGAGATAATGGAAAGTGGAAAGTGAGGAGAGAGAAGAAGTCCCTCTCTTTGGAGGGCTTCAAACCCTTATATACCTGTATCGGGTACCGAGTGTTGCCATTGCCGATTGTGCGCTCTACTACTTAGTCTGTGCACGAAGTATTTA